TTACATTAGGATGACTCATTATAATGCCAAAACGGACCCCAGATGGTCACCAAACACACTTAGTAGACTGTGTAGCCCCATCTCTTGACTGCTGTAAAATCTTTCTTGCATCGAACCCAATGTTTCATCCTACAGTTAAGCCTCTCTCTGCTTTTTGTCTGCTTAGCTTAAGAAAAGGTCGTTTCAAGCTCCTTGTGTGTTTTTCCTCTATGCCTGCCAAGGGCCGTGACACTTCCCTGTGCGTATCCTTGCTTTAAGCTGAAACATCCCAGGCTTTCCCCACAGCCAGTGCTCCAGAGGGCCAGTTCCTTCCTGCTAACAGCCAACAGTCCCTTGGGCATTCTGCACCCTACTGTAGGGCTAGGTCTGCTCGAGCCTCCCCTGCAGCAGATAAGGCCACGTGATGAGGCTTTAAGCCAGTGATTTGTAAGCACCGTGCCTTGTGGCCATCCTCTTCCCCTGTAGTCCGGAATGAAGATGCAACAGCTGGAGACCCACAGCCGTCCTCGGCCTTGGAGGAGGGAGACGGCAGCACTGCCTGTCAACTCTTCCAGGAAGGCGAGTTCCGCGGAACAGAGGCCTTGTTCACCAGGATCCAGGCCCCTTGCCCAGCACTCGAACAGTGTGAGGCCTACACTTGGGCTCGACACAGAACGGGTATTGGGTGATGGGTGGCTGTGCTGTTGACTCCGGACCCAAACATAAGCAAGGCCTCAGCTGCTTTCCAGAAGCAAAGTTTCACTTACTCCAAATCACAGCCCTCCCAGACTTGCCGCCCTCACAGACGGGTAGTATCTTGCTCCTCTTGAGGCGTGCCAGAAGACCCTTTGAACAAAATGTTTTCAAGTCTGAATTCATAACGATGCTTCCCAATGTCTGCCTGCTTAGCAGGTTTAAAATTCTTCTGTCTCCAAGGTCATGGATATCAATTTGTGTGTGTGTTGTCTGTTGTTAAATGCAGAAACTATTTTGTAACTAAAAATAGGCATTGTCTCAAGTCTAGAAGAATCATCCAAAATGATATCAGTGACATTTCCAGGACTTCAGACAATATTATTATCAATGCAGGAAGCTGTCGCTAGGTTCCAAGGATTTAACTGGGTGTTGATGAATGAAACTGAACTTTGTTGAACCCTCTCCCCTTCCACTGTGGTTTTCCACATTTCAACATATCACTTATTTTTGTCCTCAAACTTTACATTTTTTCAACAGAATTAAATTAAATATTAATCAGGCAGGATGCAGTGGCTCACACCTGTGATGCTAGTACTTTGGAGGACCAATGTGGGAGGATCGCTTGAGCTCATTAGTTTGAGACCAGTCTGGCCAATACAGCGAGACCGCATCTCTACAAAAAAATTAAAAAATTTAGCCGGGCATTTCTGGCACATGCCTGTAGTCTCAGATACTTGGGAGGCTGAAGCAGGGTACTGTTTGAGCCCAGGTCAAGGCTGCAGTGAGCTATGATCGTGACACGTTACACTCCAGCCTGGGTGATACAGCAAGACTCTGTCGCTAAATAAAATTTAAAAAATAAAAACATTAACTATTGCTCACCCCTTCCTCCTGCTTTCTGGAGTGATCCTTTTCTTTCTGGGACAACACTCCCTCTAGCCCTTTTTCAGTCTCTGGTTACAGGGTTTGCACATGTTCATACTTTCTGCAATCACATATAATTTTCTTCTTAATTTTTTTTAGACTCTTCCCCGAAGTTGTTGCTCTACCTTTTAACTCCTCACGACAAATAATGAGCTCCATCTTCCCCTTTTGCGATATTCGTATTTATACCTGAGCTCCTTGATTTTGCTCAAGTTTCTTTTCGATTTACCCACCTTTGAGGGAAGCCATTATTTGCTTTTTGTTAGGTGGGTCGAGCTTTTCTGAAGAGCAGGCTTACCTCTGCAGAATTCCCTCTTTCCCAGAATATTTTTCTGAGAAGCCTATTGAGACAGAGAAAAACAAAGGTCATCACGGAAGCCCTTTCTACACTGCTCCTCCACCAGAAATGTCTCTGTGGTCACACCGGGCCTGTCTCCCTGCCGGCCTGTCAGTCAAGGCGACACCCCTGCTCTGGGCAGCCTGCCCTTCGCCTTCCCGGGTTGTGCCACGACTTCTCAGACACCCCCTCATGATGACTCCCTGGCTCTTCTCGGACAGTATCTGGCAGAGAAGCCCGCAGTCCCGTCCTCGCCTTCCCACCTCCAGCTCACTTCCTCCCCACGGCTACAATCCCGCTCGCTCGCACACGCCCGGCCACTGAGCCACCAAGGACAGCGGCACTGCGGCCTTCCTGCCCTCCTGGCAATATGCGACTCTGTGCTAGGGTACCACCCGTTGGGCACCTGTTGATCCGGCACCATGCTGGGTGCTGCCGCTTCTGAAATGAGACCACCCTGGACACCTGGTCTGTGCTGATCGCAGAAGCGAAGCAGGGTAGGGCCTGGTCAGCACTTGGGACGGCGGTAACAAGAGGCACACATCACTCTCATTCTCGCAGGACCCACTGGTCAGTCTTTCCAGCAGGTCAGGCCCTTGGCTCCCTCCCCACCGCACAGGCCTCATTCACACCCCTCAAATCTGCCTGCTCTCCAAGGTCTTTCCCTCCCAAGACCCTTGTTACTCAACCTCTCAGTCACTTCCACACCCCAGCTCCACTGCTTTCTGTAAGTTCTGATGACAATACAACTTCAAATGTTGTTTCCATGTAGCAGCTTTCTTTCCTTTTTGGATTCGGTGCTTCACCATGTCGCCACAGCCTCGATCTCCTGGGCTCAGGCAATCCTCCCACCTTGGCCTCCCACGCAGCTGGCACTACAGGCATAAACCACCATGCCCAGCTAGTTTTTTTATGTTGCAGGGAAACAAGGTCTCGCTGTGTTGCCCAGGCTGGTCTTAAATTCTTGGGCTCGAGCAATTCTTCCACCTCAGATTCCTAATGTGCTGGGATTACAGGTGTGAGCCACTGAGCCCAGCCTTAAGAGTCATATTTTACACAAGACATCTAATTTGTTACAACCATAGATTCCAAAGCTCCATGAAAGTAATCACTAAAAATGTGATAAACTTGGCATGTGATAAACTTAGGAAACGTCCCCAATTTCTCTTAGTGGTCTGATTTAGTGTGTACTATACTATTTGGTTTTTTGAGTTGGAGTCTCGCTCTGCTGCCCAGGCTAGAGTGCAGTGGCATGCTCACGGCCACCACAGCCTCAACCTGCTGGGCTCAGGCGATCCTTCCACCTCCGTCCTCCAAGTAGCTGGAAATACAGGCATGTGCCACCATACCTGGCTTTTTATTTATTGTAGAGACAAGGTCTCTCCATGTCGAGGCTGGTTTCGAACCCCTGAGCTCAGACAACCCTCTTGCCTCCACCTCCCAAAGTGCCCAACTTCTACCATACTAGTATTACACTAAGTCTGTGTGGTCTGCGCAGCATGTTTTGAAAATGCGAGTTGGGGCGGCACAAAAGGAACCGGGCCTGTGGAGGTTCACGCCCGACTCTCAACCACAGAGCTTCCTTTCACGGGGAAGCCAGCCAGGGACCGTCTTCTCCCCAACCCCCTCCGCTCCCTCTTCGTCTCGAGGGCACGGCGCACCCCAGCCCCCAGCCCAGCCCCCAGCCCGGGGCCAGCACATGCTCCCCCTCTCCCTCCTCGT